AAAACACTTGAAGCTAAAGAAAAAAACACTTGAAGCTAAAGAAAAAACACTTAAAGCTAAAGAAAAAAAAACACTTAAAGCTAAAGAAAAAACACCTGAAGCTAAATGTGTGTTGTTGACGTTCCTGATTGGTTATTTTTAATACATTTTTTTTATAATCCAACTACTTCTGCTGACCTTCTGCTATTTTAGCTGTTTTTTTGGTGTGTTTTTTTTTTTTTTTTTTTCCCAAAAATCATTCGGCTGTAACTTCTAGCTTTTCTAACTTTTATTCTTTTCAATATATTTATCTTTATTTGCTAATATTTTCTTCTTAATAATACATGAAGATCCCTTCAGCTCCTTCAAAATCTTTGTTCTTTTGATAATCTGCTTCAGCTACTGCCTCTATTTTATCTTTTTATGCTGCTTTTAGCTTTTAGCTACTGTTCTTCTACTTTTATCTTTTAGTTATCCTTTTGCTATGTTAGCTTTTAGCTAGACTTTTGATACTTTTAATTTACCTTTTTCTTATTTTAGCAAACTGTCTGTGACTTGGCTTTTAACTAGCCTTTACTTTTAGCTTGCAGCCACCATTTTGGTACGTTTTAGCTTTTAGCTTGTCTGTTTCTACTCTTTAACTACCTTTTTGCTACTTTTAGATTTTAGCTGGCGTTTTGTTACTTTTAGCTGCAGTTCTGCTACTTTAACCTTTTAGTTAGCTTTTTGCCATGCGAGCTAGCCTTTTCATATTTTTCAGTAGCTATTTGCTACTTCAGCTTTTAATTTGCCTTTTGCCACTTTTAGCTGACCCTTTTCTGCTTTTAACTGGCTTTAGTTATTTTTAGCTTCAACCTACCATTTTGGTACTTTCAGGTTTCAGCTAGTCTTTTTCTACATTTAGTTTTTAGCTAGCCTTTTGCTTCTTTCAAATTGTAGCTGTTTTGTTACTTTTAGCTAATGTTTTCTTGTTTTTAGCCCTACCAACTCAGTTTGAGCTTGTTTATCAGAGTTGTTCGGATTAACGTTAACTGTGTCCTCTCCTGGTTTCAGGGCGACTGTTGGATCTGTATGGAACTCATGGCTACCTCCTTAGACAAGTTTTACAAGTTTGTTTATTGCACATTAGACGACGTGATTCCAGAAGAAATATTAGGAAAAATAACTTTAGCTGTAAGTCCTAAACTGCTTCTTTTCATGCTTCTAAACGTTTCTGCAGCTGAACCTGCGTTTGTTTTCTGCAGACTGTGAAAGCTCTTAACCACTTAAAGGAAAACTTGAAAATAATTCACCGAGGTAAGACGCCTCCAGACGATTCATGTGTTATTTTGTGTCCTCGCATCATTTTTTGCCTTGTTGTCCTTCATGTGTCTGCACACAGACATTAAGCCGTCAAACATCTTGCTGGACAGAAACGGGAACATAAAGCTCTGTGACTTCGGCATCAGCGGCCAGCTGGTCGACTCCATCGCTAAAACCAGAGATGCGGGCTGCAGGCCATACATGGCGGTGGGTTTAAAGCTCTGCTGATTTTCTGTACGTTCACGTATCGGGGCCTCGTCAGCAGTATTGAGGGCAGACAAAGTTCTGGATTTCTGGATCCATCTACGTTCTAACTCGCATATAATCATGAGGTCTGGATCACGACTGAAAGAACCAGACCCTGAATCCAAATGATGCTTCCCTCCAAGTTTGATCAACTCAACAGATTAACGGGATTAACTTTATCTTTTCAGCTTTAAAGTTGACAAGTGTGAACTCGGCATTAAATCTATCTTTCAAGTAAATTTGAGACTCTTCTCTCTCAGCACGTAGCTGCAGAGGGAAGCTGCTCACAGCACAGCTTGAGTGTCTGTCCGCATGGTCCTAGTGCCTGACCTGTTAGTTTAAACCGCCGCCACACAAACGGTTTAAGTGACAAAATGCCACAAAAGTCATGGGACGGGTTTCAACCCATGACCTTTTAGTCTCGTGAGGCCGCATGGCAGAAGATTTAGTTTCCTCTTATTGGTCAGACATGACTTTAATTTACTGCTCAGGAAAGCTACAACAAAATAAACCAGTTTTATCCCAGAAGGTCCCGTTTTTGATTGATTGTAATTTCAACCAAAGACAATTCAGGTTTGAGTATTTTGATCAGATTTGAAGGCATCTCGTTTGGATCGGGGCGGACCAAAAAACTAAAATATAGATCTACAGAATGATGTTTGTGTTTTCTGCTCGGTAAGGAACGTTTCCACCGTTGGATCAGAGCGGTGACCTCATCGTGGCGTCATCCCCTCGGCTTATTTTCTGTCGCAGCTTTACGTCAGCTGCTGGCCGCTCCGGTTCTCGCAGCACTTTCCGCTCTAAATTTGGTTAGACGTATCGGTGTCCACCTCCGCCGCTGCAGCCATGACTCGGAGCGAGTCACTCCTGGCGCCCGTGAGCTCAGGCTGCAGGAATCTCAGCTCCAGTTTCCTATTTCCAGCTGGCTCCCACGCCAGGTGTGCGCCTTACTGTTGAACCATCAAAGCATTCGGCTCATTCAAGAGATTGTTGTGACTTTTGTACGTTTTTAAATATTTAACTTTATTAAGAAACATTTTCCACATAAAAAAACATGAAAATCTGTAAGGAAAAGGTTTTTTTGCAAATCTGTTGCAGCGACCGGCGCTGTTTTTGTCGCTTGATGCTACTTATAGCTGCGAACTAGAGAAGCACTAGCCTTTAGTTTTATGCACGTGTTATTACATATTATAATAAATTAAATTTTAGTAACTGTAAACATTTTAATAAAATATTCTAGTTGAAGAAATTGACACTTGTTTCCTGTTAAACATGTTATAAACAAACATCCTGATCTAACTTTAATAATTACTTCGACCACATTAATGATCAGTACAGCCTTTTAGTTGCTTGTTTTTGTTCTTAAACGCTTTACTTATTAGAAAACAGACAGAACCGTTTCTGAACTGAAAGTTTAAATTTGTTTGTTTGTTTGTTTTTCAGCCGGAGAGAATAGACCCCAGCGCGTCCAGGCAGGGCTACGACGTCCGCTCAGACGTTTGGAGTTTGGGAATCACTCTGGTGAGTTTTACCTTTAATCTCTAAAGAATCAGCAGAAAAGACTCAAACCTCCGGTCTGTCACTCACAGCCAGTCAGCCCTCAGAGTGAACGTTGGGGAGGACTCCCATCTACTACCAGGGTTCATTTCAGCCTTTTCCAGTTCGACCAAATTTATTTTTTTATTTTTTTTTATTTAGCCTTTATTTATCCAGGTAGTCTCATTGAGCCACGAGAACTCATTTTCAAGTGAGACCTGTTTACGGAGCAGATGGTGGGGGTTAAGGGCCTTGCTCAGGGGCCCAGAGTGGGGCGAATGAGGGTGGAGGGAGGTGTGGGTGTTCCACCTTTTCCACCCACATGTTGACGGTACCGGGAGTTGATCCTGCGACTTTCCGATCACAGGCCCATCTTCTAACCTCTGCACCACCACTCCCCAAAAAAATCTTTGCATTGTTAAACTGTTCATAAAAATTGTTTTAGTTGTTTATTAAAAATAAAACAGGAGGACCACGGCAGGTCCCTGGTGGTGCAGTGGCTAGGATTCAGAGCTTTCACAGCTGTGACCCAGGTTTGATTCCCGGTCAGGGAATCAAGCTCGTCTTTGTTGCCCTGTCTTCACTGTGATGGACTGGAGACCTGTTCAGGTGTCCCCGTGATGGACCGGAGACCTGTCCAGGTGTCCCCGTGATGGACTGGAGACCTGTCCAGGTGTCCCCGTGATTGACTGGAGACCTGTCCAGGTGTCCCCGTGATGGACCGGAGACCTGTCCAGGTGTCCCCGTGATGGACCGGAGACCTGTCCAGGTGTCCCCGTGATGGACCGGAGACCTGTCCAGGTGTCCCCGTGATGGACCGGAGACCTGTCCAGGTGTCCCCCGCCTCTCACAGAGTAACTGTTGGATATGGGCACCAGTGATCCAAAAAGAAGTGTGTAAAGATGATGGATGGAAGTTAAAAATAAAATTTAATTTAAAATATTTTCTCACTCAACCTTTAGAGCATCTTTCATGTTAATTACATGTATGAAAGAATACATGCCATGTTCTTCCACGTGCACGTTACGAGTTTAAAGTCTTACCGATTCAGAAACCTCAAAAAGAACAGGAAATAAAGTAAATGAAGACTTTTTTCTTCCGTTTTATTCTTTTAATCACAACAAAACTTTAACATTTAAACAATAAAAAGACCAAAAATCGACCAAGAAATGAAAACTGGAGTTCTTGTGAAGACGATGTACTGTAATTTTTAACCCTGTCACACCCACTTTTAGCTTAATTTTTGTAAAACTGAACGACTTACAGACGTTTGTGTTCATGGTGAAGTAGCTGCGGCGGCCATATTGAACCAGCTTGACTCCAAAGGTTCATTTAACACACAAGACACACCTTCGTCAGCGTCTGCAGGAAGTCTTTCATACGCCTGATCTTTGGCGTATTTTTGTGTTTCAGTACGAGCTGGCCACGGGACGGTTCCCCTACCCAAAGTGGAACAGCGTGTTCGACCAGCTGACCCAGGTGGTCCGAGGAGACCCACCTCAGCTCAGCAACTCTGAGGAGAGACGCTTCTCCCCTAAATTCATCTCGTTTGTCAACGCTTGGTAAGAATTAGTGTAAAAATGATCAAACCGCTGCCCCCTGGTGGACTCACACATGAACTCTTTTTCAGCCTTACAAAGGACGAGTCGAAGAGACCAAAGTACAAAGAACTGCTGGTGAGTTCTTTTCAGCCTGTTCTTTTACTGTAGGAGCTTCTGCTCACGTCTTGTTTCTTTGTGCGCACCAGAGGGACCCGTTCATCCAGATGTACGAGGAGCGCTCCGTGGACGTGGCCTGTTACGTCTGCAGGATCCAGGATCAGATGCCGGCGTCGCCCAGCTCGCCCACATATATGGACTGATCGCAGAAGCACGTCATTTAACCTCCTGCAAGCAGAAAAACAAAAACGTTGCCTAAAGTAATCCTGTCCGTTTGTTTGGTCCCGTTGTTGCAGTGTTAGGACAACTTCTCTGTATATAAGAACACGCTTCAGTTTCTCTTGTTCTCAACCTCACAGATGAGATTTATCTCAGAAAAAAAACTGGATCTGTATTTATGGAACTGAAATTGTGGATTTTTAAATTTAGAGTCTTCAGAATCATCCTGTTTGTGAATCGTTCCACCTCTTGGGTGAAATGAACACATTGTTGTTCAGTAATTAATCAAGCTGCGCAGGTAAAACAGACTTAAAGTGTCGGAGTCGAGCCGGGCTTTCAGAACCGTCGCCTCTGCAGTGGACTCTGAGCTGAATGAATAAAGAGACACCGAGAACAACTGTGCTCTGATTGATTCATTCTCACTAATTCAGATTTAAATCTAAGGGAACTGATTCATAACAGGAAGTTTAAAAAAAATCTCTTTGTTCCGTTTGAGTAATAAATAAATGAGCAATGGAGTTTCTGTCAATTAGTAAGTTCAATTAAAGGCAAATAATTAAAACCGTAGAGCCATAACGTTGAGGTAAACCTTAAATATCAACAGAATTAAAAAGTTTTAGCCATAAAAAATTATCTTTTTAATTGAACTATACTGGAGTAATACATTGCTTTACTGTAAATAAGACAAAACATAAAAATTAGAATCTACTTAGAAATTCAATAAAAAGCTTTAAACAATAAAGTCTACAACATGAAACACCAGAGGGAGGTATTAAAATGATCAAATTCATTAATCGGAAGAGCACTTTTTCTAAAAAGAAAACACAGCCAAAAAAGAAATAGGTTAAAATGTAAAAATCACTTATTTTCTTAAACGGATACAAAAAATTAAAAATGTGACAATAAGACAATATAGAATAAGACAACTCTGGGAATCAGGGAAAATCTGGAAAATGACACATTTTCCAGACAGAATGTAAAAGGTGACAATTCTGAGATTTTAAAGGGTTCCTGTATTAATACTGGTGTCCTTACTGATTGCCTCTGGTGGCTTCTTAGTTTTTGATGCTTTACAATTTAATTATGATTGCTGTCTGCACATATGGCTATGGAGGGTGAAGTGTGACTAAAATAAATAAATAAATGCGTTATGAAATAAATACATGAAAATTTACAATTAAATAAATGTACCAATAAATGCCCCATTAAATAATTAAACATATCATTACTAGTTAATATTAATTAATTCTAGAGAAAATCCAGCAATGTTCAGTCAGGTCGTCTGGACGGTTTATTTTTTTGCTGAGAGGTTTCGCCCTTCATCCAAAGGACTTCTTCAATCTGATGAGCCACCAACCAAACTGAGTCCCACAAGCAGCACACTCTCATAGTGGGGAAAAAGAAAAACAGTTTGATGGTGATGAGATGACCTCCGGGCCCTGCCCTCTCTCCCGTCAACTCCTCTGAGATAGTCATGCCAAAGTGGTTCTAAACACCAAAGTTCATGCTCAATAATCCAAGTAATGATCAAACAATGTTCAATCAGGTCATCTGGATGGTTTCTTTTTTTTTGCCGAGACGTTTCATCCTTCATCCAAAGAACTTCAATCTGAGGAGCCTGTTATTTTTCCTCTATGGGAGTGTGCTGCTTGTAGGACTGTTTGTTTAGTGGCTTCTCAGATTAACATTTTGTTTCTTCTTAAATTAAACAGAGTAACTTTGATTTGATTTAAGTTTTTATACTTTATAATAACAAAAACACAAACGGAACATTTTAGGCGTTTTATTTTGTAGTAGTTTGTTAAATTTATCTGAACTCCAATGTGAAATTCTGTCCCCGCCTCCTTCCGGGAACGTCTTGCTGTGATTGGTCCGTGGCGCTGTTTTAACGATCCCAGCGGCCAATGAGCGTTCAGAACTGGCAATGTTTCGTCATGCCGGAAGAGAACTCGCATGTATCAAACCCAAAGACATGCACTGCAGGTGAAACCTAAACCAACCTTTAATGCTCGGAGTTGGGAGTACGCAGCTCATTTTAGGTAATTAGCTGACCAAACATGGTTTGAGAATGTTTACGGAACGGTAACTGAGATAATTATCGATGCAATTTGTCGTCAGTTTCCGTTATTTTGACAAACGGCGAAGGTTTTTAGCATGAACGGCGTCCATGTGAGGCTCTTCTCGCTGCTAGTCGCTAAACACAGAGCTGCTGCTGCTGCAACATTCCCGCGTTGCTGCGGTTATTATTCTCGTTTCCACCAGACTGTTTTCCAGTTCGTCCGGTCAATGGCGACTGTTGGTGATCATTTCCCCTTGAAGAGGCTGCCGCCGGGCCAGCATAAGAGGCAGATGGAGCTGCTGCGGTTCGTGAAGTCCAAGGAGGGGCGGAGCAAGCGGGCAGACCGTCTTGGACCGTCCACCGTGTACATTCAGGTGCTCGGCGCCGGAAGCAGGGACAACTCTCCGTCGGTTTATGTATTCTCTGAGTTCAACAGGTACTAAACACGCACATCTGCCAGCTTTCAGGTCATGGCTTTAGTTCAAAATGTTTTTTTGGTCTAGTTAGTAAAATAAGTTCATGTATTCTTCACTGTTAAACCGATTATATTGGTTTATTAAGACGGTGAACGCCACATTGTTGCTCACCTCTGCCTGTGGCGTCCATCAATTTTATTTCAAAATAAAAGTAGTTCACCTCATTTGGAAACGAGTAAATGACTGGGTTACAGGCTTTGACAGAGCATGAGGTGATTTAATCGTTGAATCAGCAGGGAAACATAAAACATGCAGGCTGTAGCCCTCGAGGACCAGGATTGGACACCTCTAGATCTTTTCAAAATGTATATTTCTCCTCCACATCACATCCAACCTGTGGAGCATATCCACTGACAACATTTAGCATCAGACTTTCTACTTCTACCTTCAGACACATCACCCTATCTTATACTCTTTTCGCCTCTACTACATTCTTTGCCAACTCCTTCAGGACCACCTCTACTCCATTTCTCTTTCTATCCACATCATGTTAAAACAGTTTAAACCCTGCTCCAATGCTGCGAGCCTTGCTGCCCTTCCACTTGGCCTCTTGGACACAAAACATCTACCTTCCTTCTCTGCATCATGTCAGCCAGCTCTACCTTCCTTCTCTGCATCATGTCAGCCAGCTCTACCTTCATTCTCTGCATCATGTCAGCCAGCTCTACCTTCCTTCTCTGCATCATGTCAGCCAGCTCTACCTTCCTTCTCTGCATCATGTCAGCCAGCTCTACCTTCCTTCTCTGCATCATGTCAGCCAGCTCTCTACCTTTGCCTGTCATTGTCCCCACATTTAGAGTTGCAACCCTCAGTCCTATATTCTTGACTTTCCTCTTCTCCCTCTGTCTCCTGACACATTTCCCTCCTCGTGGTCTTCGACTAATAGTAGCACAAACCCTGTTTGTCAACAACACCGGTGGTAGTCGTTGTTAACCTGGGCCTCGACCGATCCAGTGTGGTGGTGTCCCTTAGATGACCTTGCATGTTAGTTTTGGCTCAAGTGTGTTAGGTCAGATGCCCTTCCCGCCACAGCATGGGCCTGTGCTCTCAGTGGCTGGTTTATCAAAATAAACTCATTTATTCATATTTTGTAAGATTATTAAAATGTACTCGGATACTAATAGTGATGCATCATTTTCAGGGAAAACAAGTTTGCTGATTCAAAGACAGACTTTACTTTCTGGGCAGCTCCTATAAAACCTGACACTTGAATGGCACAACAGGAAAACTTTAAACGGATCAACACACCATTGTTACACCCTCACTGCACCTTCATCCTCCTTCACATGTTCCCGTCTTTTCGCTGCAGGTACCTGTTCAACTGCGGGGAGGGAACTCAGAGACTCTTGCAGGAACACAAGTAAGCTGCTTCACACGCTCCGCCACCGCTTCGGTTTGTGCTTGGTGCCGACAAACGTCAGTAACCTGTTTCTGTGTGGCAGGGTGAAAGCTTCTCAGTTCGACAACATCTTCCTGCCCCGGGTGAGCTGGGATAACGTGGGCGGATTGTCTGGTGAGAGGCAGCTCTGAACGCCCGTCTGAGCCTTGTGATGTGTGCTTTTTAACGTTTATTGTTGTGATGAACCCACATTTTCCTCACTTCTTCTTCCATCATCTTAGATGTGGCCTTAAAGACCAGCGAGAGTCCGTTGGTCCAACCCAAAATATCATTAACATGCAGAACATCATTGTGTGCTACTTGAAATATGATCATTTGTGTATTTTTTGCAGTTTTTTGCCATATAATGTTATTGAGATGACAATATCTTTGCAATATTTTGTGCAGCCCCAGTCTGCAACTAGAAAGAGACAAAATTTTGACCTCTTAAAATAAAATGAATATATTCGAATATATTTCATGTATACTTTGTATTCAAAGTAATAAAAACTAGTTTGTTTCATTGTAAAGTTCCATCCATCATCTTCCACCTGTTCTGGACGCAGGTCTCAGGGGCAGCATCTTGAGCAGGGAGGTCCAGATATCTGTCTCCACAGCCACCTTTTCCAGCTCCTCTGGGGAGACCCCAAGGCGGTCCCAAACTAACTGAGAGTGAGGGAAGAATGGAGCGTGAGATCAACAGATGGACTAGAGCAGCTTCTGCAGTATTGTGGACTCTGTGCCGATCCGTTGTGGTGAAGAGGGAGCTGAGCTGTAAGGCAAAGCTCTCCGTTTACTGGTCGATCTATGTTCCTACCCTCACAGGTCATGAACTCTGGGTAGTGACAGAAAAAATGAGATCATGGATACAGGCGGTTGAAATGAGTTTCCTCCGCAGGGTAGCTGGACTCTCCCTTAGTGATAGGGTAAGAAGTTGAGAAGTTCAGTTATCAGGAGAGACTCTGCGTAGAACCACTGCTCCTCCACATCGAGAGGAGCCAGTTGAGGCGTTTTGGGCATGTCTGACTTGGAGGAGACCCAGGACATGCTGGCATGACCATGTCTCGTGAACAAAACCCAGACGTACTTGAACTCCTCCACTTGAGGCAGAACCTCAACCTGAAGAGAGCAATCCACTCTTTTCCAGTTAAGAACCATGGCCTCATTTGGAGGTGCTGATCCTCATCCCGGCTGCTTCACACTCTGCTGTGAACCGCTCCAGTGAGAACTGAAGATCACGACACGATGACACCAACAGGACCACATCATCTGCAAAGAGCAGAGATGGAATCCTGAGGCCACTGAACCGGAAACCCTCCGCCCCCTGGCTGCACCGAGAAATTCTGTCCATAAAAGTTATGAACAGAATTGGAGACAACGGGTAACCCTGGTGGAGTCAAATTCCCACCCTGAAGGGGTCTGACACTACCGGCAATGGGAACCAAACTCTCGCACTGCTTGTTTAGGGACTGAGCAGCTCTTAACAACAGGCCCCCATTCCCATACTAACGGAGCACCCCCCACAGTGTACCCCGAGGAACAAAGTCGAATGCCTTCTCAAAGTTCATAAAACTCATGTAGACTGGATGGGCAAACTCCCATGACCCCGCCCTCGAGGACCCTAGTGAGGGTAAAGAGCTGATCCAGTGTTCCACAGCCAGTACAGAACCCACATTGTTCCTCCTGGATCTGAGGTTTGACCAACAATCGGACTCGCTTTTCCAGTACCTCTGAATAGACCTTACAGGGAGGCTAAGTGATGCCACTGTAATTGGAGCACACCCTCTGAGCCCCCTTTTTGAAGAGGGGAACCACCACCCCAGTCTGCCAATCCAATGGCTCTGCCCCAGATGTCCACGCGTCGTTGCAAAGGCGTGTCAACTAAGACAGCCCCACAACATCTAGAGCCTGAAGGAAATCGGGGTGAATCTCATCCACCCCCAGAGCCCTGCTGCCTTTGAGCTTTTTAACTACCTCGGCAACCTCAGCCACAGTTATGAACAAACCAAGCCTGAAGTCCCCCAACTGAGCTTCCTCCATGGAAGACATGCTGGCGGGATTGAGAAGGTCAGAGAAGTATTCCTTCCTTCCTCCGCCTGACAGCATCACTGGTTGAGGTCAACAGCACCCCACCTTCACTGAACACATTGTTAGTAAAGAGCTGCTTTCCCCTCCTCAGCCGTCTGATGGTTTGCCAGAATCTCCTCGGAGCCGACCGAGTGTCTTTATCCAATGTCTCACCGAACTCCTCCCACATCTGAGCTTTTGCCTAAGCAACAGCCAAGGCTGTAGACCGCTTGGCCCTCCGGTACTCCTCAGCTTTCTCTGGAGTCCCACCAGCCAACAAGGACCGATAGGACTCCTTCTTCAACTTGACAGCCTCCCTAACCCGGGTGTCCACCACCGAGTTCGAAGATTGTCACCGCGAGAAGCACTGACACGACACTAGCTCAAGGCAGCCACTTCAACAATTGAGGGGCGGAACATGGTCCACCCTGACTCAATGTCCCCCACCTCAGCTGGGATGCAGTTATAGCTCTCCTGGAGGTGTGAGTTGAAGATCTCTCTGACGTGTTCTTCTGCCAAGCATTCCCAGCAAGCCCTCACTACACGTTTAGATCTACTGGGTCTGTCCGCCATCTGATCCAACTCACTACCAGGTGGTGATCAGTTGACAGCTCAGCTCCTTTCTTCACCAAAGTGTCCAAAACAAATGGCCGCAAATCAGATGACATGACTACAAAAGTCAATCTATGACCAGGGCGTCCTGCTGCCAAGTGCACTTATGGACACCCTTATGTTCGATCGTGGCATTCGTGATGGACAAACTATGACTAGCACAGAAGTCCAACAACAGAACACCGCTCGGATTCAGATCAGAGGCCATTCCTCCCAGTCACAACCCTCCAGTTCACATTGTTGTTACCACATGGGCATTGAAGTCCCCCCAGCAGAATAAAGGATTCCCCAGCCATGGACTCCAGGAAGGCCGGATACTCTGAACTGCTGTTCAGCACGTAGGCACAAACAACAGTCAGAGGCCCCCACCCAAAGGCACAGGGAAGCCACCCTCTCATCTACCGGGGAAAACTCCATCTCACATGCACTGGGGCCAAGAGTGGACCCACACCAGCTCTGCGCCTCTCACCATGGACAACTCCAGAGTGGAATAAGGTCCAGCCCCTCTCAAGGAGATCTGTTCCAGAGCCCATGTTGTGCGTCGAGGTGAGCCCAACTAGATCTAGTTGGTACCTGTCAACCTGACGCACAAGCTCAGGCTCCTTCCCCACCAGAGAGGTCACGTTCCATGTCCCAAGAGCAGCTTTGGTAAGCCAGGGCCAGCACCAAAATCCCCACCTTCAGCCACTGTCCATGGAGCCATGCACCTCCTGCAGGTGGTGGGTCCACAGGAAAGCAAACCCATGTTACTCCTTTGGGCTGAGCCTGACTAGACCCCATGGGTACCCAGGTCACTATTACTAGTTTTCCTAGTAATGATTCTAACACACATTAAATTGTCAGAAGCTCGAGGTTTATTTTTGTCAGATAAAGCAAATATGAAAGATTTACTTTGAAAAACGAGCTTTTATCAGCAGTTCTTTCCAAAGTGTTAATTGTAATGAAGTATGTTTTTAATTGATTAATATTAATATTCTCTGTGTGGCAGGGATGCTATTAACCCTAAAAGACATTGGACTTCCTGAATGTGTTCTTTCTGGACCTCCACAGCTGGTGAGAACCTGACGAGTCAAAACTAAATCAGCTGCAGGATCATTTTAAAAAGTGTGGACTCACTTCCTGTCCGTTTGTTCTCATTAAAGAAGAACTACCTGCACGCCATCAAGTCCTTCGCTGGCTCTATGCAAAACATCAAGCTGAGTATGTTGCACTTGTTGGACTCTGTTTGCTTCTTTACTTTTGATTTATTTAAGACGAACCTTTTGTGCTCTCAGCGGTTCGATCGTACTCTGAAGAGCCATACGAAGATGAAACCATGACGGTGCGTCAGGTGCCGCTGTTCGGTGAGTTTAAACGGTTTCTTCCTGCTTGTTGAGTCTTCAGTTTTCTGAGCTGATCTTTTATTCATTTATTTTTTTGTCTGCAGCCGAGTTGAGAGGAAACCAAGGAGAGTCGGGCAGGAGCAGCCCGTCCCAGAGTCCTCCGAGAAGAGACGCTTTTCAAAATAAAAGTCGAGGGCGTGATTCAGGTGAGTGTAGGCCGCTTCAAATGGAACAAAAGGCTAGAAAACAATTAATGAAATTATTTTGAAATTATTTATAAAACCACATAATATAATATCTGTTTTGTGTCTAACAAAAGTTAAGTCAGGTCCTCAGACGGATTAAAAAAAAACGTCCAGAGGACTTGACCTTGAATATTTTTCTACCTGGGTTATTGAGGATATCTGTTGACCTGGTTTCCAGCCAGACTTATCTGTAATCACCCCAAATAATTTGTTTTATAAACTTTAAACTTAAGTTTGCAGGGCTGATCCAGCTGGAGAACAGCTGTGAAAAATGTGCAGAAAACGTCTTTTTTTATAATTTTTTTTAATAAAAATAAGCTTTTATTTGAGTTGTTAACTCGCAAAAAAGGTTAAATCAGGTCATCTGGACAGTTTCTGTGAACTCGACAGCAGGCTGGCTTGAAACGCATCAAGGAGGTGCTATTTATAAGACAGATCTGGATTGGCAGGCCTCAGACTGATGAAGCCTTTCAGGTGAAAGACAAAACGTTTCTCCCAAAAATAATCTGTCCAGATGACCTGATTTAACCTTTTTTGTGATTTATCTGCCTGGATGATTGAGCTTACAAACCTTTATTTTTTATTTTTTGTCAAATGTTGTGAAATAAGTAGCAGGTGAAAGCCAAGAGATTTTTAGAGACCCGTCCCTGGTGGTTGCCTTCGTGTGTAAGGTAAGACTAAAACTAACTCCAGCCTGTGGGGCTTCAGAAGCTTTGTTTGATTTAAATTTTTCCTCCACGTGTTGATCGTCTTCACAGCTTCGCCCAAAGAAAGGGAACTTCTTGGTGGCTCAAGCCAAAGAGCTCGGATTGCCGATGTAAGAGAGCAGATTTTATGTGACGGCTTGATTTTTATTTATGAACTCGTTTTGTTCTTTTAATTCAGAAGTAATTTAATTTCAGAGGCACAGCAGCGATCCAGCCTTTCATCATGGCTTTGAAGAACGGAAAAAGCATCATGCACGAAGGAAAAGAGGTTCTATAAGATTCTCCTGCGGCAGTCGGGGTCCAAACCGCGTCAGCTGACCCTGTTCCCTGTCGTCTCACAGATCCGGCCTGAGCAGGTCTGCACCCCCTCTGACCCTGGACCAGTTTTCATCATTGTGGAGTGTCCATCTGAGGACTTTGTTGAAGCTGTTTGCACCAATCAGCAGCTGAGGAAGTAAGCGTTTTAATATGAAGCACTGTAGAGTGACCTGAGAGCTGAACGACAGCTGAAACTAGCTAAAGAAGCTGAAGTAGAGATGTTAATCCTTAAAATAGCTAAATGTTAGCTTAAAACCAAAGCTGCAAAATTCTAACTTCAAACTGACAGCAATAATATGCTTTCTAAATGTAGCAAAATGCTAGCTAAAAGTGGCAGAATGGTAGCTGAAAACATCAGAATGGTAGCCGAAAGTAGCAGAAATTGTAGCCGAAAGTGGCAGAAATTGTAGCCGAAAGTGGCAGAAATTGTAGCCGCAAGTGGCAGAAATTGTAGCCGCAAGTGGCAGAAATTGTAGCCGCAAGTGGCAGAAATTGTAGCCGCAAGTGGCAGAAATTGTAGCCGCAAGTGGCAGAAATTGTAGC